ACTGTTTCTGGCGAACAATCGAGAGACCGCACAGAGCGCGCCGTTGTCACCCCATGGCTCAAATTTCTCTGGGAAGCATACCGAACTGTTCTTGATATCTTGAGGAACAATGCCCGATTAGAGATCCTGTACCAGAGTACTGCGATGCGGGCGTTTGATTTCTGCCTCAAGTATCAACGGAAGACTGAATTCCGACGCCTCTGCGAACTTCTGCGAAACCATGTTCAGACCGCCGCGAAATACTCGAGCCAGATGCATGCCATCAACCTCAACGACCCCGATACGCTGCAGCGCCATCTCGAAACTCGCTTTCAACAGTTGAATGTGGCTGTTGAGTTGGAGTTGTGGCAAGAGGCCTTTCGCAGTGTCGAGGATATCCACACCTTGCTCAATCTCAGCAAGCGCCCAGCCAAGAACGTCATGATGGCGAACTATTATGAAAAACTCACCCGAATCTTCCTGGTCGGCGAGAACTACCTTTTCCATGCCGCTGCATGGTCTCGTTACTACAACCTTCTCCGCCAATCCGCAGCTCTGATAGCCACTGGCCAGGGCAAGAAGGTTGACAACCCCTCTGCTACTGAAGCAGAGCTTCAGAAAGCTGCATCATTCGTTCTCCTGTCTGCTTTGTCGATTCCTGTGATCAGCACTACTCGCTCCAGGGGTGCTATGGTTGATTTCGACGAGGCGAGGAAGAACAAAAACTCCCGTCTGACTCATCTTCTTGGGATGGCCACTGCACCTACACGCTCTGGTCTGTTTCGAGATGCGCTTTCAAAGGCCTTACTAAAGCGTGCTCGCCCTGAGATTAGGGATCTTTACAACATCCTCGAAGTTGACTTCCACCCCCTCTCTATCTGCCAGAAGATTTCCCCTATCCTGACCAAGATCGGCTCTGACTCTGATATGCAAAAATACATTCTCCCTCTGCAACAGGTCATCCTCACGCGACTATTCCAGCAACTGTCTCAAGTATATGAGAGCGTTGACTTGTCTTTCGTCGAGAGCTTGGCTGAGTTCCCTGAACCTTTCCAAATCAGCCGTGGCACAATCGAGAAGTTCATCATGAATGGTAACAAGAAGGGTGATCTGTCTATTCGTATGGATCATGCTACAGGTGTTCTCAACTTTGACAAGGACGTGTTTGCCTCCTCAAAGGCTGTGCATGCTGGGTCAGCTGCCGGCTCCGCCGAGAGCCATACTGGGACTGTACAACGCCTGCAGAGCACTCCTTCGGAAATCATTCGCTCGCAGTTATCTCGACTTGCCACTACCCTCAATACCACTTGTTTCTATATTGATCCTTCGTATAGGCAGCGTCAGGTCGAAGCTCGTGAAGCTGCACTCGTCCGGGCCAAGGCTGGGGCTGAACAAGAGCACCGTGAAACCCTTGCTCGTAAGGAAGTCATCCAGAAACGGAAGGCAGAGGCATCTGAAGCTCATGCCAAGAGGGAGAAGGAGAAAGCCAAGCAGAAGCGACTGCAGGAACAGGCTTTGGCAGAAGCTGAGGAACGACGATTAGCACAAGAGCAAAAAGAGCGTGAAGAGAAACGTCTCAAGGAGGAACGTGACCGTGTTCGTAAGGAAGAGCTCAAAAAGCAGATTGCTGATCTTAAGCTTGGTCCCAACTCGGTTGACATCGATGTCGAGAATCTCAATGATATTGATATTCGAGCCATGAAACTTGCTCAGCTCGAGCGCGAGAAGAATGATATCCGAGAGAGGCTAAGAGTCACCGGCAAACGTATCGATCACTTGGAACGCGCGTTCCGAAAGGAAGAAGTCAAGAAACTCTCCGACGACTATGCCAAGCAACGTGAGCGCGATCTGGCGGCGTATGAGGCTTCGAAAGAAGAAACCTTGAAACTGTCAAAGGAAAAGCACGAACAGAGTGTCGATCTCAAGCATCGCCTCAGTCGCTTGATGCCTTTCTATGAATCTTATAGAAAATCTTTGCATGATCGTCGACGCGATGAATTCGAGAAGCGTCAACGCGATGCTGAACGCGAGCTCGAGAAACAAATCGCGGCTCGCAAGAAGGAGTACAGGGATCGTAAGCTGAGAGAGAAACGAGAACGAGAAGAAAAGGAGAGAGCCCTGAGAGAGGCGGAGGAAAGGGCGGAGAGAGAAAAGGAAGAGCAAGAGAAGCGCGCGGAGCAGAAACGAGCGGAGATGGCGAAGTTGAAGGAGCAGCGCGAAAAGGAGCGTCAAGAAACTCTGGAGAAGGCTGCCATGCAGGCCAGGCGAGAAGAAGAAGCTCTAGCCAGGAGAAAGGCCGAGAAGGAAAAGGAACGCATGCCGCCTCCACGACAGCCTGTGACCATGGACCGCACAGAGTCGAATGGCCGTCCTTCCGGTCCGCCTCGTCTCAACCTTGCGGGAAATACTGGAAAGCCGTCATGGAGAGATCGCGATTCCTCTCGAACCGCTGCGCCAGAGTCTAACGGGCCCCCCCCGCGTGCTGCTGCTCCTCCAGTGGAGCGTACAGCTCCTCCAGCTCCCATGGAGCGGACGTCCTCAAATGATCGTCCTTCGGGACCACCTCGTCTCAACCTTGCAGGCCAGACTGGCAAGTCCTCTTGGCGAGAACGTGAGCAGAACAAGCAGTCTGGCGGTCCGGCCAGAGAGACCGCTACGCCCCCTCCGTCTGGAGAGCAATTGAAGGCTTCTGGCGCCCCTGGCAAATGGGTACCTCGCCATCTGAGAGACAAGCAGTAGGCATTTTAAGGAACCGGCGTTTGGGGGATCTTTGGGGGTTTTATGCACTTTGTTGTCGTTTGCCTCTTGTGTAACTAGAGTCATGCAAAAGGGGCAGTTGCAGTCAGAATGTCGACGAGATCAGTATGATGAGCAGAGGATGAAGTGAAATAATGAGGAATTTCTTCTACACAGCACCCGCATTCGCAGCCTATCCTGATATAGTACCAATTATGCCGTCCACGTCCTTGTGTCCCCTATCATCGCCCCTGCTACATCCCTAAGCCCAGCCGCAGGCTTGCTGGTTATAACTTGTGTACGTGGCGGCGGCGTCGTTTGGACACATGACACTGCGGGCGACCTTGCAACTGCTGATTCATGCACACTGCTAACTTACCTACCTGGTCTTTCGTCATGAAGGTTCAGCCGTAACTGATGCCCGCCTTGGAGCTCGGCCCCCTTCCACCAGGCTTGCGGGCTTGGTTCTAGCTTGCTTTTCTGTATGTTGATATAAGGTAGGTATAACTGGTGATGGTAATCGGGAAAAGAATTGTACATGTGGTGGCTATGTCCACTTTGGCGACAGGGGGTAGGTATGAGGATCTGGATAAGCCCTCCTCAAACGGGGAAAAAGCGGATGCAAAGAAAGACTTGATGTTGGGGGGCAGAGGTGCTCTGAGTCCTCAATGCCGTGAGCTTTCGGTCATCGGCTGAGGTTGTAGTGAAGATAGCTGACGCCGAAGTTGTGGTGTCGGTAGGCCACCATATTTTCGTGGAGAAAGACATGTCCGCGCAAAACGAGCCGACATCCTTTGAGAGGCAATGCTGAAGTGTCACCTTGACAAACCTAGGGGAAGGCTTTCAAAGTAGGCCGAGGCTTCCCTGTGAAATACCTGCATTGATCGCTCCCCATATAGTTGCTTTTGATACAGGCCTCTAAACTAACTAGTTTTCATTTGTCTTGCTGCATACAGGCACTGGTGGCGGCATTCGGGACGGCTAATTACTGACAATGGATGCGACCAGGCCTACGAGGAAGACGGGGGACACGGGGCGAGGGTCTGTGTTGATTACCTACCTAACGAAATTATGGTACTGCGCGTCTAGATCGGGGTTGTTGGAGGTGACCGGTGACATGATAGTCGATCTAAAGGCTTTTGGAGTTTGTAGATTACTGGGCAGAGGCGATACGTGCTTTTCCAGGTCCTGGATGGGCCATCCAGAAAAGAAATAGGCACTAAGGAACCAACGCGTTGAAACGCGTGAACGCCTGAAGCGGATGTTGATTCCGGGGTGATCGTCAACTTCAGTAGGTATTGAGAGAAGCTCGTTCGAGACGAATGTGTGTTTCATGGCTGGCGCAAAAGCAGTGCAGGACCAGATGTCACAATTTTCTCTAGAACGACCTCTCAGGTAACCCTTGACCCAACTCGAGGCAATGTCCGTGTACATAACCCCCCCAGCCCGAAGTCGTGCAGGCCTTGAAGATCACATCGATTCAGGAGATAAGGGAGGCGCTCAAATGGTACAGTCTTTGTACTTATCAGTTTCAGTTCCCGTTCAGGTACCTACTCCATCCTATTCCCCCAAAAGTGTCATCACACAACTAGAGTTCTCACTGCACTATTCCAGGAGCTATTTGTTAAGCATAAATAATTCGACCGATGGACAGCAGTGTCTTGCTTTCTATTTATCCCGCGAGTGTAGTAAAATTGGCAATAGCATATAATTCATTGTAAGACACTCTAACTCCGGTGGTCACACTCGATGATATACAGTACGGAAACCGCAACGCAGAATATTTATTTATGCTTCGTCATTCCCACGAGCCTGGGCTCCAATTAAATATTGCATTTCCTGCCATTCACATCCACTTCCGCAACTTCACTTCGACCGGGCCTCATGCAGCTCGAGCTACGCCTCCTCTGTCTTCCTAAGGCACTGGGTGGGGGAGAAGAACACTCTGACGAAAGACACGATAGCGGTGCTGGTTGAGAAATTTGAGTCGATCCTACCTCCTCCTTTTAGACTGTCTGTCGGTGTTCAGAGACAGATAGTGTGTGTTATGTTCAACCCGAAGCAGAATTTTTAGGTGGCTGGGCTGATAATCGGCTCCCTGCGGTTACTAGGATTCAGAGCGAAGCGCGCTGCTGCCTCACCAAGCCACTCATATCGGCCGTAGTAGCCAATATAGAGTGCTTTCACTAAAATCAGAAGGCGAGGGCAGAGGAGAAAAAGAAAGAAAGGAGAGACTATACCAGTATCTTGACGACCTGGGAAGGAGGTGTCAAAATGGAAAAATATGACGGTATTGGGAATCGAACCCAAGTCTGCTCGGCCACAACGAGCTGTACTGACCACTATACTATACCATCTTTATCAGATGCGATAATGAAACCCCGATTGATGAATTCGAGCCACCTTATTTTTTATCATATCAGCTTGGTAAAAAAACTGGACCTTTTAGAGCCCCCACCCTTTCCCCCCTTGCAATTCGCTAGGCTCCTAAGAACTAAAGGCACTGAATTTCACCACATAAGGGAGCAGTCGCAAAGTGCGTGATGTTTTTCCAATAGACCAGAAAGGGCACATTGCTACCTTCAATCTCGCCTCTTCCTGTCTATAGGCGTTTAGCTCTCATGGACCATGCCCAAGCTACTGATGTTGGACTCGACTCAAGCTGGGTACAAAACTAGTCGATGAGACAAGATCCAAGGAACGCATATCGGGCAGATGTATTTTTTTCTTAAATGTTTGAACGACCGAATCTGTAGCTTTGGGCAAGCTGTCCTGAAGTCATCGAAGCCGACCTGCGTGCCGACATTTTTGGTTAAGTTCCTCGATTGAAAACCTGCGGCAGCCTGTGAAAACGCTCCCAGACATTGGGTAACATCGTAGGGTGTCGTTTGGGGATATGAGGGGAGAGATCACGACATCACGCGCTTGCTTGTATATCTGGCGGACGAATCGTGCCTTAATCTATATTCCCCCATGGTTTGCCGCGCAAAATGATTCGATAGCGTCTGATCAGGCATGTTGCTGCACCCCTACTCACCATCGCTCGAACCATTTGTGGGCGCTCCCGTACCTGAAAGATTGCATGCCATGTTTGAGTAGGTCTAGAAGATTCAGGAGGTGCTACCCTTTTCCGGTGGAGTCGCGAAAATGTCGTGATACAGATCCTTTCCAGCGCCATTTGAGAAACAGCCAGGTCCTCTCGAGTACAAGCCTAGAGGCTCCTACCTGACATTTACAACATGGCCGGCTTATTTACAATATTCACTATCTGGACCATTGGTCACTACCTGGTACACGAGGCTGGGCGCCCGTTTCATGGACACAACAGTCCTCGATTCATCCGAACCCTGCAGGGTCTATAACAAGCTGTGGCTATCGGCACTTGAGTTCTCGCCTAGTCCTCGATATCTATAAGCAAGATTTATTTTCATTTTTAGCTCGCAAATGATTTGGGCAGGAAATCAGCCTGTATTAAAGTATACAAAACCTGTGAGATAGTAAATATGAAAAACAAGAGAATTTCCGAAGTAGACCATCTTCACTAAGAAGACAGGCGTGACGATTAGCGTCCATCCCCTTGAGGAGAGGGGCAAAATGATGCCGAAGACCGTAGTCTGTCTCGCACTTGAGCAGCCACGATTCTGGACATCCATGCGGAGCTGTAGCAACCGTTCACGCCTTCTGGGCAGCGATGCGTGCGATGTGATAGTGATCTTGCCACTTCAACCAAATAGACGCCTTAGACCCGTCCCGATAAGTGTCTGTCCTGGTGCCGCGCACTCAAGGCTGGATGTAATTCGGGTGAAAGACCGCGCTGGTTTCTAGAGTTCGCAACGTGTCTTGGACTCCTATAGTTACGTGAAAGCAGCCCACACCGCTTGAGACGAGGCTTTCTGCTGCCGTCCTGGCGACCAAAGAATCTGTGAGTGAAGTCGGCTGGCCGCGTATTATACAGGTTCCGTTCAAGACTGGCGTTTGTGAAGACTCTATGACTCAAGGTCCTGCAACAGGCCGCTTTCTATAGAGAAGCTCTTGTCACTGTGGTCAATTACGTATGTCCGACGGTTTGCCGCCTGGCCTCAGTTGACCGAAGTCTGCCTATAAGTCTTCATTACTCCAAGAACTCGCGCAGGTAATTGCCATCGCTGCAACAGTTACCTTCTAACCACCGCATCCTTAGTTTTATTTTCAACAGCAAGTCACAACGTATTACAATGGACCTGAAAGTGGAAATGCGCAGTCCCGAGATCCGTTACGCGACAGATTCGGGAAACCGACGTTCAGGAGGTAGTCGGAGACGAAGTACCCGAGATATTGGTTCTCGGCGAAGACGCATTGCGTTGGTATTGGACTATCAACATATCGGTCTATCTCGCAACCCATATGCTCGCAGCACAGTAAGGAGACCTTGAATCTGAATGACCTTTCCTCATCAGCTACTCACGGCCTCTGCTACTAGAGTGGACCAATTCCTGGCAATGACCCCAACACTTCCTTCAAAGGCGTCCACGGTGAAAACAGAAACACCGCGGTTACAATTCCCCCCTTCCCGGAAACCAGTCAACTGCCATGCGCCCCTGTCCTCAACGGATACGACTCCGCCGCTTCTGTCTTCACGTGAGACGACTGATGCATTTTCTTGAGGCTAAGCCCAGCGACCACGCAACGACCGACGACTATGATCTCTGGGAGCACAGACATGGTGAAATAGATGGTTATATTACCCTAATAGACGTGAAACCCAGGGTCATAGGAACATGTGGCAGGAAAACCGTAGAGCAATCGGATGATGACGAAAGGACAACACAATGTGGTACATGATAGGAGGCGTCTCTCGCCCGATGGGATGTCGATCTTCTGCGCAAGAATCATGAAGAAGACAGTCACGGCGCGGGCATATTGAACTGTGAAGATGGCGATACTGGCTCGAGTCACGAGATGGTCCAGAGCCAGTGGTAGATGCCAGGCCATTCGAAACACCGATTAGTGATTTGGTAGCTCCAAGGTATCAGAACATATCCAGGTAACCTAGATCACTGGATGGATCACCGGCTGGATCACCCGGGCTTGCATGCACACACAATGAACAGTCCTGGATGCTACTTACAGGCGCGCTAACATTCCCCACGTTCATGCCCACATGGGGCGCAATTCCAATGCTCTCACGCCCGAGTGCGCCGGCATAAGCCGCGCGGTTGTCTGGTTTGTTGATCGTCACTAACTGAAAGCCGGCGCCGATGATGCGGAGTAGACCGAAGATGACGATGATGGTCCAGCTTCCGGACTGCATCCAGCCATGGATGCTTGCGGCAACTCGAATATGCACCGCTGCGCATAGTGATAACGGGAACATCGTGACCTTAACTCGGATTACTGACCAGAAGAGATTGCGATTGTCTATGGGTGTGTCGTCTGCTAAATCGGTGCAGCCACGTCCATCGTCCACGAAATATTATGCATTATCCTGCATATAGCACATGTTAGGGCTACAAGGCCGATGAAGACATCTCATCTCACCTTGAATTTCATCACAAAGACCAGTCAAAGAGGTCACGGGCCAGATGCCGAATGATCGAATAATGATTTGATATTTAGAAGATCGTAACTCATATAAAAGCAATACAATGCGCTAATGCTGGCGTCCGCTGCCGCCAAGCATTGAAGTAGACTGTCCAAGAACCATTCGCCTCGCCATAGTGAATGCGACCCAATAGTCCAGTCTCAGGTTCAACAGGTCTGGCAACTTCATGGACCAGACGTGTATTAAAAGATCGTATGATCGAAACAAGCGATACGAGAAATTAAGGCATTGTGGTATATACGACTTAAGCATCCCTAATCATGAATGTTAGCCCGGGGTTCCTGCGTAAGGAATGATTGAATAGTGGGCGATACTTACAGCAAGCAGAGAGTCAAGTCACCATGTATGCGAGCCTTCAGAGTAACCTCCACTTCGATGTTCAAGTCGAGGCGCAATTTCAGAGTGTCGCTCTTCCCGTCATCACCACCTCCCTGCTGCTGCTGCTGCTGCTGCTGCTGCATCGCCTGTTGTTGTTGCATCTGCTGCATCTGCTGGAATTGCTGCTGCTGCTGGAGTGCTTGTTGATCGGCAGGCATCATCTGCTGCTGGCTCTTGCCCTTGCGTCCACGACGGCGCCGGTTGGGCGAGGGTGAGAGAGATGCCTCTGAGGCGCTCTCGGCGTAGGGGGCTCTCATATCGCTTTCGGATCCAGACATGGTGACGGAAGACTCTTTCCTCAACGGGAAAGAAGCTAGACTCTGGTGGTGCCTGGGCCGAGCGAAAAGGGTAGCAATGGGGTGGATGTGATGGAGCGGAATGAGGAGGTCGAATAGTAGAATGATGTTAGAATCACACTAGATACTCAACTGGCTCAACGGGGCTATTATACATGCTGCAGGGCATGCTGGCAGGGGGGTTACTTCGGCTGACATGTTGGAACAAGGCGCGGCGGCTCAACGTCACCGAAGTGCTGTTCGGTGGAAGGAAACCTGATTTTAGGATTGGGGATTCCAATGCCAGCCAAGGTGGGGGATTCATCGCGATTGTGCTAGGATTGATGTCGACAGATTCCGGGGTTGTGTGGCTGGTGTGGACCTCTTACATCACTTGTGTGGCATCTGTGTGGCATCTGTGTGGCTCTTGTGTGGCTCTTGTGTGGCTCTTGTGTGGCTCTGAGACCCCGATCGGCCCCCTATCCACCCTGTGCCGTTGCCAGTTGCGTCACTCTGCACCCTGAGGTCAGCCACATGCCCGTACTAGGTTCTGTGCCCCTCTACCCTGTCTGTAGGTAGGGACTCCATCGTAAAAAAGTGAAACGTGCAATTGAACGGGCAATGGGTGGGAGAGTGACGGGATGCATATTAGGCTGAGGTCGGGAACGGCCGCCTGAAATGTGAGGATAAGGGTCGATGATGATTGCTCTTCCATCGCATAGAGTTCCTTTGGAAGTGGCCGTCACGAAGAAGTCGGGTTACAGCTGTGAGAGCTTGATGGTTGATCAATGCCCTTCGATGCACATGAATACCTAAGTGACCTGCCCTACTGTGCAGACTGAGTACAGATTCTCTACAAGGGCCCCCAGACGCGGAAGAATTGATCATTCCCAAGTGCTAGCTGCAGACAATCCCGGCACCCTGGCGGATCTCCGGCATCTTTTCCGAGCTCTAACGTGCTAGAGTGCCAGCATTGGGACTGGGCAATGAGCCGTCACCCGGAGAACTCATTCATAGTTTGGCGCATTGCCGAGTCCGGGCTGTTCGCATACACACGACCGCCTGTTCCGTTGACAATGTGCGTTATCTCACTGCCAGCAACTCCGGTCAGCCATACAGTCGTCAGATGATGCAGCTTGACACCTGCGGCTTGTGGTACTTCGATAGCACTCTCCAGCTTTGTCGGCGAGTCGCGGAAGTACGAGTAAATGCCCAGTCCCCAGGCTTCGTGGGTTCTCACAGTATCGGCCACCTTGTACGAAGCATAGCCATTGGTCTTGCCCGCCTTCCATGCTTCTTGATTTGGAGGGTCATAAGGGATCTCAGATTGATAAAAGTAAAGGCGGCCGCCTTCACCATTCCACAGAGTCTGGTATTCCTTGTGGTGTTCGTTGAACAACCCGAATATCGTCACATTGTCACCATTGATAACGATACCATTTTTGGTAGGATTTGTGTCCCACGCTGCACCTTGCCCGTGATCTGCTCGCCACAGCCATAACTGGTCGCCTACAACGTCGTGGCTATTGATCGTGATTCCTACATCATTCTTGTTCTGCCCGGCGGTACGTATCGTCAAATCGTAAAGGAACGTCGGGTTGGCTGTGTGGACAGTGGAGCAGCCGGGAGGACCGACTTCGACAAGCGTAGGCGAGGTAACGCTACTCGCTTCGATGATGAGGCCGGCGAGTGTAACACCGTCAACGTCAGCAACCGATATCGCGGAGTGTCCTTGAATCGGGACGAGTGAAGGCATTCCCAATCCAAGAATGATTGTGTCGGGCTTGGTGATACGTAAGGGTTCTTCGAGCTCATAGATGCCAGGTGTGAAAATGATGTGTTTCCCAGAGTTCAACGCTGAATTGATCTTGGCAGCGTCTGCCGTTGGTGGCTGGGCTATGTAGAAATGATCGATCGAGATGGACTTGCCGGATGTAGGTGAGCCTTCCCAGCTGGGTCCTCGACTGTCTTTCTGTAGAGTAGGCACGAAGACCTCGTATTGGCCCTGACTATTGATGCAGAGAAACGGCTTCTCGCGCATGACGGAAGTTCGCTCTACAGTAGTATACGGTGTCGCTGGGAAATCTGCCTGGCTAGGTGCATTCGTATCGCCCACAAAAACCATATTCCAAACACCGTTCGCCCAGCTGCCGTACCGATTGTTGCGTGACAGCCACTGTTGTTGAGAACCAGGAAGCACTTGGTTGTCAACGACCGAATCGGCCATGAAGCCGCCCGATGCCCATCCTCCCGCATGAGTTTCCGGGTCGACCTGGAAAAGCCACAGACCGCCGGGGCTTCGGATGTGCAATCGACGCAGCGGGGCTGCCTGCGACACCGCGATCGTTGTCGTGTTGTTGGTCGCCTGCGAGGCATTGATAGCAAAGTTCTCGAAGGAGCGCCAGAAATTGCAGGTTGCATTCCTGTTGGGCATCCAGTAAGCTGGTACGTTGACACCTCCTTCGATGAGTACGTCGTCTGGGCTTCGCCCTAGGCCCGCGACTTGCGTATAGAAGCCCACGTCGAAAAGGACATTATAAGTTCCGGGCTTGAAAAGCAGAGCATAACGTTCGGGTCCGAACTCATTAGCCTCCATCTGTTTGAATATGGCGCTTAACTTGTCCTGGATCCCAGCCACTGGCATGCCCGTGTCGAACACGTACACGTTGGGCCCAAAAATAGTAGTGTTCGCTGCCGCCATTGTGCTGATCACGGCAGATTCGGTCAGGATTCCGTGCAATGTTTGCTGAGCATTCAGATAGCAGAAACAGCCTGACAGAGCCCGGTCTCTCAACTCGAGTAGACTTGAGTTTGCCTAGAGATACCTGTATCAGCTATTATAGTGAATATTGCTTAGTATGAACTTCAGTAGAAAGTCGTCCACTGTGTTTGCTGGGCGGAACCTGCAGGTGCACGTCATGGACACCACCTTTTTGGCGCCATTGAGGAGGTTCCTACCGCTTTTGCTTCGCAACAAGGCCCTTGATGGAAAAAGCAAGAACCAGGCAAGAAGCAAGCTTCGGCATGGCAATACAAATTTAGTATGCACGAGCAGGCTATGGCTGCGAGAGCCAAGTACAATGCAGCACGAGAGACTAGCATTACCTTTGCAACTACGATGGAATGGTTCTGATAGCCAGAGCATTCAAGGACTTCTTATCAAAGTACCTATCTCCCAAAGCCTGTTCCCAATCCGCACGCGTAGCTGAAGAGACACAGTGTAATACACTTTAGCTAACAAGCCAAAAAGAGTATAATGACCAGTTTGCAATTGGTGATATCGCAAAGTGTTTATTTGTAGTGCCTCCACCCCGGATCGAACGAGGGATCTTCGCATTCCTTGAGATACAAGTGCGACGCTTTACCACTAAGCCATAGAGGCAAATGACCGATGAGTTGCCGAGACCTTATCGTAATATATAGTATAATATCATATGTGGGACAGAACCTATAAGGCCGCCTGATACGGGTAGTGAAAGTCAAGACCGCAGCTGCTCCCAGCTGAGGGAGAAGCTAAGTTCAATCAGTATATGTACCTAGAAGTAGGTAATGATTATGCCTGTGGACTTACCTTGTAGTATGCCTACACGATGTAGATAGAGAGAGAGCCCGTACATTTGGTGATTAACTGCACGATGCGCTTTAGGTACCTGGGTGCGTAAGTAGGTAGGTAGTCTGAGGCACCCTAATTGTTTTTCACCTACTGTGCCGCTGCCTTCCGCCATCCGTAATCGCTCCACCGGTCAGGTGCGGGCAGTGTGCATAGGAGGTAGGTGGGTGGGTAGGTTAGTAGATACGGCGTACATAATTCACTTCCTCCGGATACCTGCCTACCTACCTACTAGACCTTATGTCTGACGTTCCATTTCGTGTGGTCTAACTTGATAAAAGGCTGCTGATAAAAGTGCCTTCTATTTCAATACCTACTGTTGAGCATTGCCTTCGGTTCTCTGAAGCGTAGCCATGATGCCAGTGGGACATGATGCCAGCTCTGTCGCTCCCGATGAGCCGCCTTCTTATGATGAAGCTATGGAAACCATCCAGCCGACGATTCTTGTGCTTTCAGGTCAGTCAATCCATGCTGAGTCCGCTGATGCGCCTCCGTTGTACCAGTTCAACCGAGGAATCGCCAGCCTGTCGCTCTCAACCTCGGAAGTGATCATGGAGCGCGTTGAGCGGGCCGTCAAAATAGGCGCCGATGGCCAGCCCAATATTAAGCCACGGCCCCGGCACATCTATAACCTCAAACATTCGACAGCTTATCTTGATACTCTACCATCGTACGCCCCGCCCTTCTATATCAGTTCTGTTTCCAGGAGAACGGCTGGTCACATGGGGCTGAAGAAGAGCCGCTTCCGCTCGCGCTGGAAGGTGTGTCCGATTGATATTTCGGGGAAGAGCAATGATCACGGGCTGCCGCAGTTCATCAAGGATGCGAGTCCTATCTATGAGATCGGGCACAAGGAGGACCGGTACGAGTGGGTCGACAGCAACAGTAAGGCCGTGGCGGTGGAGGATGAGGGGGAGGGGCAGCATCGACTCATCGTCACAACTCCGCTGCAGCGTAAGGATATGGACGCACTCGTCGCGATGTGGTGCTGTAGGTTATGGCAATTCTCAGCAGAACATCAAGGACGTGTCAATGAGGGCATGGATGGGGGTAAGTACCCGCCGTTGGCCTACTACCTAGCATTTTCGAAGGTGCTTGCTTACACATTGCAGTGAGGCGGAAGCTCAACCTTGCCCGGGAAGCACCAGGCGGTATCTGGGGTGTCTACCCGAGGTAAAGCTATCTCGTCAGTGATAACAGGGTCCAGCACACGCCTTTATTTGACCACCAGATGACCTGGCCACGTATATGCGACGGGTTGGTTGTCCTGCCTGTAACGGTCACTCACGGGGGAATGATAGTTTTCCATCTCGAAGAAGAATTAAAAAGGAATAAAAGCTAGTAACTCGAAGGGTCGAGAAGGCAGAATCATGCGTGAACGCACGCTTGATTCGAGATCGGCTCACCATCAAATTATTCATCAGCCATAGAGTTATTGTTTGGCACCCATTAAACATACCAGCGACCAATTCTAAGATTTGTGATCAATCGGCACGACTTCAATGTCTCCATCATCCATAGTGCATACGGCGGCTTCGGTCACGGGCTCATGGGATGATGGGCAATCGGATCTTGTTTATAACCAGAGACGTTCCATGGTTTACACAAATCATATCTTACCCAACCGATATCTACCATTCTTGAGGGACTGCTTTTTTTCTATTAGATCTTGGACATTGAGGTCCTGAAGGACTTTCTTGTCGTGGTCCCGGAGGCGGAGCTGAACTTCCCTGACCAAGCGACATTTGCTTGCTGCTGATGGAATTGAATGATTGCTGAAATTGCAATCTGGCAACTGCTGATCTTGAACACTGCCACACGTCAGTTCTTCGTTTCGGCCCGCTTTTCCCCTTCCTCTCTAGTATTAATTGTGTTGGCTCAGGTTCGTGACATATGAAGTTGGCTGGTCAACTTCGCTGTTGACTGTGAGTGTAGTGATCACACTGGAAGTATACACATACCGTTTCAAGGAACTGCCACCGTCTCCCCAACCCCTGGACCTAACTCTGAACTTAACTGCTAAGTTTGTAACCTTAGCTTAGGTTGCCATACGGCATGAGATTTTTGGCGGTTTGATTCGGTGCTAGAAAGGAAAGTAAACTAGTAGTTAACTGTGGTATGTAATGGAGGTTGCGATAGAAATATACGGTGCATAATGCAGACGCCACAGTGTGATCCATGATCATAGTCATTTTCCACAGTTTTATAGTCATTTACACGGCGCGCTGAAAACCCACTTCTCGGGGCCAACCCCAACAGCTCATGTCGAGCCTCCAACGGAGCGGCTTCTACTTACAACTGTCTATCCATTTCGGGTGCTTCGATCAAACTCTGTCGCTATTCCGGACATGGGGAATGCCGGACTTGATGCAGAATACGTTTGACCAGACAATGCAGCTCATGAAACTTGGTCGTGTAATGGCGCGGAGCCTGGGAGGTAACTCGGGAAACTGGGGTTGTGGTAAGTAATGCCTCGCTTTCTCCTCCCCCTTCTTTACTTGACAGACTGCCTCATGAGCTTTACGCTTTCATTCGGCGACTACATGTTCTCGAGTATACAGGCTGATTTACCTCACGGTGAAGAGTACACAAAGCTGGCAATCAGAGGAAGGGCAATATAAATTCCTAGCAATGGTCTACTCTTTTACAAGATTAGATTTCGATCAGACTAGATCTCATCTGTATCTTGTGCCTTTTTTGCCTTCATCTCTCGCGCATGGAACCCGAGGGTTTTCTTTTTTCGCCCATTGAGCCAAGGATACCATCATCCTGTCGCACTGAGCTGATAATGTGCTAGATGCCGATCCTGGGCTAAATACCGGTATTCCCAGAGACTCTTGAGGCCCGCAGGAAAAGTTCACACGAATGCTTTTGGGGAACTATGAATTATCTTCACAAGACGGGGGAGCCGACGATTATTTCTCCTATTTCCGCCCAGTCAGCTCATCGTTTCTTAAGTCGCAAATGATAATGCCATCGAAGGCATGTAGAGCCAGCACCCTTCGTGTTCGTATTTACAGCTAGCGCGTGACCAAGATTCTGGGAACACCGAGTCGGCGAAGAGCTTGGCTTACGAGGTTTTGCACCAGTGATGGTAGTAGATAGGAGAAGGCTGCAGGTGCCCTTCCAGCACCCACAGTCAATATAGCACGACATGATGTCGGAAATCGAATTTTAACGTGGGTTTCACGAGGAAATCAAGTCTCTGGCTAATAAGTGAGCGAGTAAGCTGGCCACAAATTTTGATCGCTGTTCGCGTATTACATAAAACAAAGAATTGGCCATTGGAATCGAGAAAAAAAGAGGCAAGCATCCTGTTCACTGGGATTGTATCCGATCCAAATTCTTAAACACATGCAAACGTACACTACCAATAGAGAGAAATTGTAGCTCAAGTGAGTTTATGACATTGTATACCTTTTATCTATGTCTATATATGCCCACTTGTCCTTATGCCTTTTCTCTAAAGATAGCCACCGAACGCCATGCGCGCATTGACTTGCTTGTGTGCAAATCCTTCTGGAAACTAAACATGTGAAACGCACCTATGAAAAAGCTTGCGAACCGAACGACCCATCAATGTAGCCCGCTCTCACCCGTCTTGGCCATGTATTTCTGGCACTCGACTAAAATGCGAACCTGATTGCCAATGTCGCCGAGGTGGCCGAGGACCTTCTTGTTACCGTCGACAAATTTCATGATGGTGTAGGGGATGCCAGTGTCCTTAGAAAACTGGAGACCCAACTCTTGAACTCGGCGCAAGTTATGGCGTGGCACACGCGGGAATAAGTGGTGGACAGTCTGAAACTGTAAACCGCCATGAATGAAGTCCAACCAGGCCGGGCAATCCACATCCATAGTGGTACGTAGCTGTCGTTGAGGGAAGGACTCAGATTCGCCCAGGTCGGAGGTCGACATGCCCCAGTGCGATAATGTGATCTGCACGTGCAAGGGCATGGTAATGACGTGTGAAACGAGCACAAACGCGACGCGGATTGTCCATGACGGCAGTGTGCGCCATAATAGGCAGTACCCAAAGAGAAACCAGTAGCAAGCCATGAAGAGAATCTCTGTCGGTCGAATCCACCAAGCCTTGGAGTGGCCCAGGGAGGATGACTTGGAGGACAGAACATGCAACCACGAGAGCAGGTAAAGATTGAACCGGGCGATTCCCATAACTGGGTAGTATGTGTACTTCTGGTACGGCACGAGGAAGTCGGCAGCCGCATCCCACGCGAACTTGAAGTCGTAGTAGGTGGAGTGTATGGAGCGAAAGAAGGACGGGCAAGTGGCGAAGAGAGGGACATTTTGGATATCCGGATCATGATCCTAGCAAGGCGACGATTTAGTACGATTTGCAAAGACACAACAAGTACAAATAGAAAGAGGGAGCATAAGACCAAAAAGAGAACTACTTGAAAACAAACATACTGGTGAGTTCGTGACAAGATGGTGAACATTGTGGCTACTTTTCCACCATCCGATGGATAGGCCACAGCAGAAATCGGCTACGAACATGCCGATAAGGGTGTCTGGAACGAACTTCTGTGTGATGGCACGATGCCCGGCGTCGTGCGCAGTGAACATAATCTGATGCTACACGCCAAGATGTCAGTAAGGTGGCACATGCCTGTAGGGCTGCTAGGATAAAATACGAACCCAGAAAAGGCCCAGACTAATAGCCGATGTCATATACCAGGCATTGTGGAGAGTAAAGAGGAAAAGAGCAAATAGCGAGACATAGCGAATCATCTCCTTGCCATATTCCAGGT